AAAAAAGAAAGAAAAAAAAAAGGAAGAAACCAGGCTGAGCAAGCCTCTTCTCCGTGGTCTCTGCAGCAGCTCCAGTCTCCAGGTTCCTGGTCTGGTGTGACCCAGACCGGCCTGGGGTGCTGTCTTTTTCAGACACGGTCTCACTATGTAGTTCTGGCTAGCCTGGAAATCTCAATGAATAGTAGGCCGCCCTCTAACTCAGAAATCCTCCTCCTTTGCATCCTGAGTGCTGGATGGAATTAAAGGCTTAGGACTCGACTCCAGGCCTCTTGGGCCTATTTATTTCTTAAAACCTCCCTATCCCCTCCTGGCCCAAGGTCTGGGCTGTGGAAGCCCTGAGAATCTTTCTAGAACCTGGTGGCCTCTCCTGGGTCCCTTTTGGCTTCACAACCAAGCTTCATCTTGGTCATGTGCAGCCGATGCTCCTTGATTCTGTTTCAGTGTCTGGACCTGAGTGGCCTAGGGCAGTTAGCCAAGGCCCTGCCTCTCTGCCTGTGATGTCCCAGGCACCAAGCTGGGGGAGGGGGGCAGAGCCAGGAAGGGCAGGGCAGAGGATCACAGAGGGCCTGGGAGACCCTGCCAGTGCCCCAAGGCTGGGGCAACCTTCCTCCCTCCTGCTCTGGGACACAGTGTCACTAGCAGACTAGTGGAAGGGAGGGCTGAGCCTAGGAACCCTTTTCTAAATTCTTGTTGTTATACTGACTTACGTCAGTGGTTCTCAGCCCTCCTAGTGCTGGACTCTTAATACGTTCCTCTTGTTGTGCTGACCCCATCATTAAATGATTTTCATTGCTGCTTCATATCTCTAATTTTGCTGTTAGGAATCGTAATGTAAATATCCGTGTTTTCTGATGGTCTTGGGTGACCCCTGGGAAAGGGTCGTTGTCTCTTTGCACCATGTGTGTTTCCCCTGGGAACTGAACTCGGAGTGGCGAGTGCCTTTGCCCACTGGATGAGCCATCTCGCCTGCCCTAGGGGACGACCCCCTTTAGAAACTAAAAGTTGTGTGTGTGCACTATTTATATAGGTGCATGTGTGTGAGTTCCAGGGTATACTTCCCTGTCCCTTCGAAAAAGCCATGAGGACATTAGGTGTCCCCTTTGAGGCAGGGACTCTGAACATGAGGCTCAGTTTTCTAGGCTAGATTAACAGGCAGCGAGCCTCCACCAGAGCTGGGGTTAGTGGCTGTGCAGGGCACAGGCGCTGGGGGCTGAGCCATCTCTCGGCTCAGGACACATGTGAAGGAGGAAGGCTGCAACCAGAGCCCTGCTGTCCCCACGGAATTGTTTTTACATATTTTATGTCTGTCTACTTGTGCGATGGTGTCCTTACAGCCGAGAAGGGGGTGGG